CTTCCTGGCCGCCTGATCAAGAGGTTGAGAGAGCAAGGATGGCCGCATAGCTTTGTAGCATGGGTCACCTCCTTCCTGACTAATAGATCTGTTAAAGTAAAGCTAGACGGAAAAATAGGAGTATCTACCCCTCTTCAATGTAGCCTGNGCCGCATAGCTTTGTAGCATGGGTCACCTCCTTCCTGACTAATAGATCTGTTAAAGTAAAGCTAGACGGAAAAATAGGAGTATCTACCCCTCTTCAATGTAGCCTGCCCCAGGGCTCGCCTATCTCACCTATCCTCTTCATGCTCTACATCCAGCCACTTTTTACCTCAGGGGTGGGCTCTTTCCCAGTGTTACAAAGGTTCGGCTATGCTGACGACATTGGATTACTTGCTTTTGGGCCTACTAAGGCAGGTAATATGAAGGTCCTCGCAAAACAGGTAGCTAGTGCATTAGAGTGGGGTACAGACGAGGGTATCACCTTTGACGCAGAGAAGTCTGAACTCATCCACTTTTCTCGTAAGAGAAAGCAAAAAGGGAGGGGCATCCGCCTTCCGCCTTCTATTATAGTGGGGAGCAGAACAATAGAGCCAAACCAAGAGCTTCGTTGGCTTGGCATCTTCTTTGACCCTCGTCTTACTTTCTACAACCATGTTAAAAGGATAACAAGTAAGGCTACGCTAGTAGCTAATGCTCTAAAAGGGACAACAAACACAATAAGAGGGTCTCCCTCCTACCTGCTAAAACAAGCGACTACCGCTTGTATTCTATTAATCGCCTACTTTGGAAGCGAAACATGGTTCCCTGGACGAGTAAGAGCCAAAGAAGGAGGGACTACAAACAACCGAATTGGCCGTCACCTGACTCTCCTAGACCGAGTAGTAGCTAAGTGTGCTAGGATTATCCTCCCAGTATACAAGACTACTCCTATCTCAGTTCTCCTCATGGAATCTGGCCTTCTAGCCCCTGAAATTGCCCTTATAGCAAGAAGTAAAGCACTAGAAGCCAGGATCCGGCGGCTAGACCCTGCCCACCCGCTCAAACGATGTGTGAATTGCCCTAGCCCTAAGGCTAGGCTTATCTATCGCTCTTATAGAGCCCTCTCTCCCTCTGAAGAGATTGACCCAATACAAGACGCTCCGTGGGACAGGGGGTTCAACCGACAGGCCCGCCTTATTGAAGTAGCAGGACCTGACCCTGGTAGAGACAAGAGCTCTTTTAAGGCCAAATTCCTTGAATTCCTAGCTCTGGTTCCTTCTACTGATCTAGTAGTATTCACTGACGGCTCTCGCTTAGACGACAAGAGCACTGGCGGGGGTGTCTGTCTAACAAGAGGAGGGGCTATTCTCAACACTAAGATCTTCTCCTTTGGCAGGGTGCTAGAGATATATGATGCAGAGGCTAGAGCTGCTCTACATGGCCTAGAACTAGCCCTGGACTCCCCTTTCTGGTCGTCGGCCAGAAAGTGCTGGATTTGCCTCGACAACCTCGAAGCTACCCTACAGCTGACCTACCGATCCTGCGGCACCTCGCAAGAAACCTTCAACAAGGTCAACGAATTAGCTCAATTGTACCCTGGGAAAATACAGACAAGGTGGTGCCCTAGCCACATAGGGATCCTAGGCAATGAGATTGCAGATAAAGCTGCAGGGAGAGCAGCACGGTTACCCTCTCCTGAACCCTCCCCTTTACTCTGTACAGCCACGCTTAAGAGAGAGGTAAAGGAGACAGGGATTGCGCTTGCGAAGAAGCTCTGGAGCACGACACTTCCAGCTCTCTATAAGGACCTAGGGCTCTACACCTGGTCCTCAAAGCCTAAATCTCTCCAGCTACCTAGAGAGGTCCTCGCTCGCTTAATTGCTGCTCGTTCTGGACATGGAGACTTTACGGCTTACCATCTTCGCTACTTTCACTTCGACTCGCTACTTGAGTCAGGGAATTGTAAGTGTAAGAAGGCTAAGACCCAGTTCCACCTACTCTTCTGCAAGCTAGCAAACAACAAAGACCCTAAGCTTTTAGCTAAGGCCAAGAAGAACCCCCAGCTGCTCTTTGGACATCACTGCGAGAAGCTTTTTAGCCTGGTCTACTTTAAGACCGAATTCTACACCAAAATCTGTCTCTAGTTAGACGCGCCTCCTTTTCTTTCCCTTCTCGTTTAATTATATATTTCCTTTGTCTTACCCTGGTTCTAAAACTAATTAAGGATAAGGGCTGTTCCGAAAGTGGAACTTCTCTTTAAATTGTCTCTTGTAAATTAGCTCATTCGTTTACACCCCCTGTAGCCTAGGGCACCCCCCTAGCGTCATTTGCCCTATTTTGGGACTCTTCTAGGACCTAGCCCACGCGAGCTAGAATCCGCCTGACGTTAAATAGTAATAAATAAATATAAATTACCAGTTTTTTTGATACGAGCGGAATTGAAATAAAGGCCTTAGGATAGTGATTCAAAAGTAAAGTGTCTAGAACCCTAGTCAACAATGCTTGCGTCCTCTGATGATAACATTGAGTTTTTAGGACTTTTGCTACCATGTCTACATAATAATTACATACGTGACCTGTATTAATACATCACATCATCTAAACATTATTTATACAGATATTGAAAACGACAAAATGAGCTTACAACTGGATAGCAGGCTCAGGTTTCCAAACCGACCGAGATATCGCAATCGCCATTTTAATAGCAGCCGCGATCCAAAAATTCGTCGATAAGCCTGCCAGGCTTCTACTTATCCAACCACACACGATACCTCCTACGAGAATGGATATCACAGCAGCAACCCTTCTATTCCGCTTCACGTTATCCTTTGCCAACATATGCGGATCACTCGCAAGATCACAGTATACACTCGTCAAGGCAGTGGTAGGTACTTCGTTAAAGTCCAACAACCGCTATGTCACGATCTGTCCGCCGGACTGGAAGGCTAGGAATGCCAGCGGGATAAGCTCTAGGAAATTGATGTCATCGCCGCTTTCGATTTGAAGTCCTTTGGGAGAGGGAACGATACCGGCTTTTACTAAAGCTGCCGCGATGATTATGCAGATACTTTGAAGGACAAAGGAAATTGCTAAGGTTCCCCGCGCTTTGGGTTTTATGGATCGAGTGTTTGCGAAGACGAAGCATCCTAGGAGGAAAGAGGATATGGAGATGAGGGATTTGAGCCAGCCGTAGGGTCGAGTAATGGGATGACCTGATGCGCCGAGTGCGAGGAAGATTGTGTTTGCTGTAAACGATGAGTTGACGATGGCCTAGATGTCTCTTCCCAGGACGGGGGAGAAAGGTCTAACCTGTTTGCATAGAAACAAAACACTCCCAGGCGTTATACGCCGATGAATCGCATAGGCCGCTTACGAGGCATGTTGCGATAATGGGTAAATCGGCTTTCTCGAGAGTGATATCGGTAGTTAAATGCGACAAGGCATTATGCCGCCAACTCGAGCTTGATATCTTTGTTGCTGAGGCATTGGAGGGTGAGTGGGGTTCAGTAGTGGGGAGACCATCACGCTGGTTTTCCGACGGTAACTTCGAGGCTGGAGTGATGGACATTATGATGTATTGATATCTTGATATCTTGCATCAATTTACTCCTATGAGGTGGAAATGATTAGGTAGGGATGGTGGGATGGGAGTTGGATAGCGTTAGTGAGGATAGCAAGTCGCCTTAGCCGTCTGCCGTGTCAATTGCAGCCAGTCCGGACTGTATAGAGGCGCAAGGTTAGATCACAGCCGCAAAACAGATTTCTTTCGTACATGAATTCAATGGTGGAGTTGTCTCTGAGGTTGCGTACTTGGCTTGGGTACTCCTGGGTACGAGTACTCGTACCGTATCAAATAATGACGTTTCTTCAGTAATCCGGAGACGGGATATCATAGGCGAGATAGGCTAGAGTTGCCGCGATTATTCCTCCCATTGGATTACGATGATTAGTCAGCAGGTGGGTCTCGCCAACTTTAGATCGTCTCATGCCCCCTGTCCGTTCGGGCCCAATCGTGCGCTAAGCCGGATCGGGGTGATAGTAATCTTGATGACAAGCCTGAGCCAAGCGGATAATCGCTTGAAATCTGCGATAAAAAAAATAATCTCTCGCGCCCCTCCTCTTCTTCCCTCCTCTACGAACATCTCTCCGCTCCTCACCACCCCAACGTCTTCTGCCACTCGCGGCGTCGACTGAAAAGCTTTCGTCTTTCTTTTCAGACCGGATATCTGCTCGGTCAGATCATCTTTAAAACCCAAATCTCCACTCCACCAAAGGTTCTCATTCCAGAAGGCAGCGAACCAACCCCTCGGCCACGTTTACATACAAAGAACACATTTTTGAAACCACTCGAAGTTTATCACCAACTCTCCCACCCTCATACATACAAAAGTCAGCTCACGATTGATCTCGGGATCATAATCACTCTTTCCGCCTTACCACAAGGGCGAAGAAAAAACGAGCGTTTATCGCTCAAGGATGCCCCACCCCGTGTCGCCTTCTAGCCAACAGCCCACCATGCCGCCCACCATGATATCCAAAGCCGCTGGTCCTCCACCATCAAAAGAGGATGTCACCGCAATCCTCGACGCTTGCTTTACCGCGGCCTCGTCCGACCTTTCAGTCGCTGCAGCATACTCGCTCTGCGATCTGTTCCTCAACTCTGTCGGTTTCCGTGGATTGACTCAGTATGGAGTCCTCGCAGAAATCAAAAAGGCTGCCGCCGACAAGAAGAGCGGATTGAAGAGAGAGAGTGCCCAAAACTTGCTGGGTGCCATCTTCGAGAGATTACCCCCTCAACAAAAGATTAGCGAGGTTGTTTTCTTATTGCAGGACGGAGGCATGCTCGGATGCGCCCTTGATGCCCTTTCTGATAAGGGTGCTGTTGTTCGCGATGCTGCAAAATACGGCCTGGACGAATTATTCAAGAACTTGAGCTCTGAGGCTCTCGTTGTTGGTCTTCTTCCAGCACTCCTTAGTTACCTCTCAAAGCGTTCCGGAAAATGGCAAGGAACCGTCGGAGCATACAAGATGATCCAAAAGATGGCAGACAAGGCGAAGATGGAAGTTGGTTCCACCAAGGAGGAAGCAAATAACAAGGATATTCTTCGAGAGTCAATGGGCACAAAGATGGCAGCACTCATCCCAATCGTCGAGGCTGGAATGCACGACTTGAAGTCCGAGGTCGAGAAGCAATCTGTTGCCACCATGAACTCGATGACTGCACTTTTGTCAAATGACGATGTTGCCCCACGAATTCCTCTTCTCATCAAGACTATGCAGAACCCTTCTACCGAAACCCTTCAAAAGGCTATTCATGCGCTTTCTCAGACCACTTTCGTCGCCATTGTTACTTCACCAGTCCTTGCTCTTCTCACCCCTCTTTTGGAAAGATCGCTCAACACCCCATCTACTGCCCAAGAAGTTTTGAGACAAACAGTCGTTGTCGTCGAAAATTTGACCAAACTTGTTCACGACCCAATTGAAGCACGAACTTTCTTGCCAAAATTGAAGCCTGGTGTGAAGTCCGTAGAGGACCGTGCCTCTTTGCCAGAAGTTAGAGACATGGCCAAGCGAGCTCTTGGTGTCATTGATAAAGCCATGGGTGAGGACAGCGGAGATGCTTCAAGCACTGTCATCGAGAGAACTTCTGTCGAGGATGTTGCAAAGATCTTGGAAGCTGAGATCAAAAATGCAGGAGGCCTTGGTGGTGACTTGGATACCTTCAAGCTCGCACGCCCTTACATTTGCGGCATGGTTGCTGAGGATGTTAACCACCGCCAAACTCCCCGTATCTCATCATGCATTGCTCCTTACCTTCAACATATCATGAAGACTCCTGAAAGCGCCTCTACCGTTGCAGAAGCTGTCCAGAAATATTACGTCGACGAAGACCACCGCAAGTTTGGCCAACCAGTTGTCCAAGAGGAGGGCGAGATCGAAATTGTCAACACCGATTTCTCGCTTGCCTACGGAGGCATGTTGCTACTTTCTCATACTAACCTTCGTCTGTTGAAAGGACACAGATACGGTCTTTGTGGTAGGAACGGTGCTGGAAAATCGACTCTCATGCGCGCCATTTCCAACGGCAAATTGGAGGGATTCCCTACCCAGGATGTCCTTCGTACCTGCTTCGTTGAGCACAACCAAGGAGAGGATGCCGATATTAGCATCCTAGAATTCGTTGCCAAGGATCCGGAGATTGGAAAGGAAGGAATTGAACGTATTTCTGAGGTTTTAAGTGAAGTCGGTTTCACTTCTGGTCCTAATGGTCGTCAAGCTGAGAAGGTTGGCTCTTTGTCCGGTGGTTGGAAGATGAAGTTGGCTTTGGCTCGTGCTATGTTGATGAAGGCTGATGTCCTCCTTCTTGACGAACCTACCAATCACTTGGATGTTGCCAACATCAAGTGGTTGGAGACATATCTCCAGACCCACCCAGATATCACCAGTTTGATCGTATCTCACGACTCTACCTTCCTCGACAATGTCTGCACAGATATTTACCACTACGAACCAGGAAAGAAGCTCAAGTGTTACAAGGGTAACTTGGCTGAGTTTGTCAGACAAAAGCCAGAAGCAAAGAGTTATTACACTCTTTCCGCATCTCTTGTCCAGTTCAAGTTCCCGGCTCCGGGAATTCTCACTGGTGTCAAGTCACAAACTCGTGCCATTCTCCGTATGAACGACTGCTCATACACCTATCCTGGATCGAACAAACCATCTCTGCACAACGTCACTTGTCAATTGACTTTGTCTTCCCGAACTGCCATCATTGGTGGTAATGGTGCTGGAAAATCCACTTTGATCAAACTCCTTACTGGCGAGACCATTCCTACGAGTGGTAGTGTCGAGAAGCATCCTAACTTGCGTATTGGTTACATCAAACAGCACGCTCTTGAACACGTCGAAATGCATCTCGAAAAAACGCCTAACCAGTATCTTCAATGGCGTTACGCTAACGGAGACGACCGAGAAGTGTACATGAAGCAAACTCGTATCCTTTCCGATGAAGACAAGGCACAGATGGAGACTCTTGTCGATGTTGGGGACGGATCAGGTGGAAAAAGAATCGAGGCAATCATTGGTCGTCAAAAGTGGAAGAAGACCTTCCAATACGAGGTCAAGTGGGTTGGTCTCCTTCCTAAAAACAATACACAAATCTCTCGCGAGACTCTTATCAAGCTTGGATTCAACAAGTTGGTTCAGGAGTTTGACGATCACGAGGCTTCTCGTGAAGGTTTGGGATTCCGAGAACTTTCTCCAAAGGTCATCTCCAAGCATTTCGAAGATTTAGGTCTTGACCCTGAGATTGCCAACCACAACGAAATCTCCGGTCTTTCTGGTGGACAAAAGGTCAAAGTTGTGTTGGCTGGTGCCATGTGGAACAACCCCCATCTCCTCGTTCTTGACGAACCTACCAATTTCTTGGATCGTGACTCTCTTGGTGGTCTTGCGGTCGCTATTCGTGACTACAAGGGTGGTGTCGTTATGATTTCTCACAACGAGGAATTCGTTGGAGCTCTTTGCCCTGAGCAATGGCACGTGGCCGATGGTCGTGTCACCCACAAAGGAAATCTTGCGGTTTCAGCAGACAGATTCGAGGACAGCAGCAAACCAAACAGTGGATTTAACAGCAGTGTTGTTAGCAGAGCTACTAGTGCTCAAACCAGCGCTGCCAACAGCACCGTTACCAGTGGTGCTGAGGATAATGCAGATATGACTTTCAGAGCTAGAAAGAAGAAGAAGAAGACCAAGAAGGAGTTGAAGGAGCAAGAGGTCCGAAGAAGATTGAGACACATTGAATGGTAAGTTCTACCTCTTTCCCATACACCAATGGAACATTTTACTAATCTTCTCTCAGGCTCAACTCTCCCAAGGGGACCCCACATCCTCCAGACTCTGACGCTGATGATTAATGAATTTCGGACGCTTTACCGACACACGTTTTCTTTTTTTTTCCCCAAGAACCCTCTCTCTTCGTGAGATGAGGTTTTAATAGGGACGAAAGAAGTATAGAGAAAGAAAGTTTAGAGATGCATTTGGAATATTCGTGCATATAGAGTGCCGTTGTACTTCCTTTCTCTTACACTTCGAGAAAAATTCTTGGGGGATAAAAATCTGTTGCGGCGTTTATATATAGAGGACTTTTTGGGGTTTTCCTTTCTCATTCATGTCTGGTACCTGCGTCGATAGATGAGACAAAGAATGAATGAATAGTAGTAGATTCTTAAGGAGATGATTAGAATCTTAATTATGGTACTTTTGATGATACTTTTTCACGTGTGATATAATTTTCTTGGTGAAGGGGAGTAGGGTTTATGTTTGAGTAGGTGGGAGTTGTTAGTGAAGTGAAGCAGAATTGCGATGTGCGTTGAATGTTTGGTGTGGGATCGTGTGGTGGGTGGATTTACTGTAGTTGGGTAAGTACGTGCCGGTATTTTCGAGATCTGAGGGCGCGGCGGGGTTGCTTGGAGAGGTTGTAAGCTGGGATTTCAATGGCAGGTTAGTTATTCTATGTGAATAGGTCCGTACCTTACCTAGTCCAGGTCAAATATGATAGCCTCTTGCAAGTACGAAGGAGGGAAAAGAAAGAATAGATATTATAACCAAAATTCCTTTGTAATGTTCCTTTCCCCCGGGCTTGAATGTGTTCTAAAAGAACGATTGAAAATACCGAGTATGGAATTCATTCCGGTCTATAAACTTACAGATCGCTTCGCTATTTATTTATTTAATGCTTCACCCCAATAACCCAGGTCATATACCCCGTTGGCCATGTATGTTGTTCCTTGCCACTCTTCACTGTCCACCCATCACACTCCGCCCCGCACCTCTTCATCAGCGCCTGGACTTCCTCAGCGCTTCTCGTTCGCAGTGACGACGTGAAGCCATCGACCACGAGAACGAAAGGTATGATGGGAATTATATACGTGAAGAAGAGGTGGCCTGGTGATCTCCAGAAATAAAAGGGGGTTATGAGTAGCATTAAGAAACCCATGGCGACCATTGTTATAAACGAAGGGATTGTACGTTCTTGGAGCTCGAAGATTCTATTAATGTTAGATTTGATAGGAAGATTAGGATAAGGAGAGTTACCCAAATCCATCAGCGGTTTCTAGAGTATTCCGTAGAATAGCAGAACCTAATGGATCCTCAAAATGGTGGAACGCTAAGTTATATAATCGGAATATCTTCAAATCCCCACTTCTATTCAAGCTCGCAGGAGCATTCGCAGCATCCACGGATTCCGAAACGAAGCTCAGGTTCTCGCTGCGCTTCGAAGCTTCGGTCCAATCCGGGATGTGGGGGTGTAGGTCTGTCAGGATGAATTTGACCTCCCCTTTCTTCTGAGCCTTCGCGGTTTGAGGGGATCGTGGTGTGAGCCCTTTGTTATCGATTGTGGATTCTTCCGTGGATTTCGAGGATAATTGCGCGTTTAGGTCTTTCTCGATGTATGGTGTTGGGCCGCCTGCGCCGGCGCAGAAGTCAACGTAGGTGTAGTTCGTTACGTTGTTGGAGAGGGTTCGGAAGAGCGTGCTTGCGACGAGTTGCGCGGGTGAGGCTTTTTGGATTATTGGGACGCGAAATTGCCAGCAGAGGGTTAGACATGATTGGACTTTTTCGCGCAGGCATTGGGGAAACCTGGAATTCTCGATTAGCAGTCTTTCTTTTGCTGGAAAGGTGGTAGAGGATAGCGGGTTTTTGCGCTGCAATTGACTTACCATGTCTGGTCATTGATCTCGTAGAAGTGTATGCGACGACATATCAGACCCATCTTGGACTTCTGGGACACCAATTGCTGTTGTGGAGGAGAGAGGAGGGTGTTTATCTTGTTACTTGTGCCAGGATTGCAATTGTAGCTATAGCTTCAATTTGAAACTACGCCATCGTTTTCGCTCAATCCACCCCCAAATTCTCTACGCACACGCGGGCTCTGCTTTGCAGCTTCTTCAACGTCACAGCGTACACCATACGATGCATTTATCAACCTTGCTTCTAGCGCTTGGTTTCTGTTTTTCGGTCGCTGTATACATTTTTCGAAGCCCCTCGATCAAGAGGCATGGAAAAGCGTTGAAGTGAGTGATTTACAAACGTGATGAGCCGCCCCCACTTCCAAGTTCAATGTACCACATGAACTTCCCCAAACCTATTCCCCCTTTCCTGGAGTTGAGAAGCGACATCTTCGAAAGCAGGCTTTGGGGATGTTACTTACTGATCTTCACATAGACGACCACCAAATACACTACCCCTCGCAGGCAATGGCCTTCTATTCCTCCAAGCACGCCACAAGCTCTTCTCGTGGTTCGTAAAATGTGAAAGACAATTCGGATTCGAGACCTTTCAGATATCCGTTCCTTCGCTACCACCCGGGGTTGTCATCAATGACCCCAAGAATCTTGAGTATGTCTTTAAGAACGAGGGGATATTTTCGAAGGGTGATTTCTTTAAGCGTCGGTCTTGGGATTTGTTTGGTGAGTGTTCTTTTTATAGAAAGTAAGTGGTTGATGTAGATGGTACTAAATAAAGATAGGCAATGGTATTATAAATGCTGATGGAGAGTTATGGAAAGTGCAGCGGAAAGCTGGTTTGCATTTTTTGAATAATGCCAATTTGAAGGTCTTTACTGAAGTTGCTCTTCCTCGATATCTTGAGGAAAGTGTGAGGGCTCTTCAAAAGGAGAGTTTTGTGGATTTGCAGGATGTTCTTCATGGTAGGCTCACTCTCGTCATATATTCGACCTATGTTTATTCTCTAAATTGTACTAATTCTTCAATAAAATGTTCCGACTGATACCTGGTCATAGAGTTGACAACACAGCTGATGGGACGCATGGCATATGATGTACGTCTATTCCCCCAACAACCTTATGTTTCGATCATCGATATGCTAATTGTCTTTCCGGCATAGATGGAGATGCATCACTCCGATCCATTCTCAAAAGCCTTCGACTTCGCATCTGGAGCCACTGGAGAAAGATTCCAGAATCCTCTCTGGCAGATTACTGAAATCTTTTTAGGTGGGAGGTTTAGAGATTCCGTTAAGAAAGTCAAGGCGTTCGGCTCGAATATAGTTTCTAAAGCCATCTTGGCCAGAAAACAAAAGGATGAATCTACAAGTAAGGCTACAGTATCAGAAATGAGGAAGGACGAAGATATCATGAGCATATCTGGGAGTTTGATAAACTCACTTTTGGAATCCATCGAGGATCACCAAATGGTTGCTGACGCCGCCTTGAATTATCTCACGGCTGGTATGATTTCCACCACACTTTTTTCCCTCACCGAAAGACCCTCTAACAATTCCTGTACAGGAAGAGATACCACGGCACAAGCACTTACATGGGCCTTCTATCTGTTAATGCGCCATCCCCACACCATTCAAAAACTACGCACCGAAATCACCAATCTCAACAACCAAACCCCATCCGCTTCATCTGACCAAGAGCCCGACCCCTCAACAGCAAAATACAGCCTGACATCCATCCCCTACGCCATGGCCATATTCTACGAAACCCTCCGTCTCTACCCACCCGTCCCCTTCGAACTCAAACAATGTTCTCAACCCACCACCCTCCCAGACGGAACCTACCTCCCCAAGGACTCCATCCTCGTCTGGGCAACCTGGGCCATGAACCGCTCGCACACGACTTGGGGTCCAGACGCCGACTCCTTCATCCCAGAACGATGGTTAGACCCAGCCGGAAATCTGATATCCAGGTCCGCATTCGAGTTTCCTGTCTTTAACGGTGGATCACGAACCTGTCTGGGCAAGAAGATGGCGGAGATGGTGGCGGTGCAGACGATTTGTACGTTGGTTGACAAGTTCGATTTCGAGGCTATGGATGGGAGGGAGAGGGTTAGCAGGAATAGTTTGACGCTGCCGATGGAGGGGGGTTTGGGTTATTTTGTTCGGGTTAGGCGATGAGGTGTCTTATCTTCGTATAAAACTCAAGTCGAATACGGGGAGACTAATTCTACCCAATTATCACAACTGTCTTACAGATATTCTGAGCCGCATATGTCGTGCAACACACCACACCTCCCCCCAAGTTCTAGGGTACAGTAAGATGCTCAGCCACCCTCCCGTCAGGAGTCTAAGAATAATGAGGCTTCTACTCTTGGCAACGGCCCCCTTACGCATGTATAGTATTATGGCGTCCAATTGTGAGTTCGAAGCTCCTTACCCATGTTGGGGTAGCTGAATCTGGATCAGATTCCACGTTTCTGTGTATTTCGCGGATAGTTTTCAGTTGAGGGGCTGTGATAGATGTACTTCACCTCGAAAATTGGCTTTATTATTATTATTATTATTATTATTCCTTTTAACGTGCTGTGTGAGTCTGAGACTATAGTAGCACGGCTGGGGGTTTCCCTCCAACAGATGAGTAAAGCTGTACTAAATACATGTTTGAGAAGGGGGTTATGGTGAATACAGTTCTTGGGTTGTTGGAAGCAGCTAGGCTTCCGAAAATTGGCTTTATTTCACAGAGCAGATGGGATCTTTTGAATTCGTTATTGAGATCTTCTAGAATGATTCGAGGTTCATCACTTCCGGAGTATCGAGGACCAAAAAATACGTGCACTCCAAGTGAAAGGTGTCCACTCTTACAGTACAACATCGTCCCCGTGAAACAAAGAACTTTAGTCAAAGTCCTTTAGTCAACCAGGCAACGTTTAATTCTCAATCATGTGAGCCTCGATTTGACCACTTTCGAGTGCACGTCTTTCTGGTCCTCGGTACTCTGGAAGGGATTATGGATATCAGATCCGAAAAGCAGAGGTTTCCGATTCTTATTCGTTTACTGGTTACACAACATAATGACATCAGGCAAAAGGAAACTGCATGTGTACTGTACTGTATCACACTACACCTCGCCTCCCCACAAGTGGCGGTCTTTTTGGTGCGGCACACCAGAAGACACCAATGAGTGGCCAGCGACTGCTGTAAAATCTCACCGGGACGCTGACGACGTTTATCTTTAGCTGAAAATGTGTTTCACTACGTCCTTCTTGTATTTTCTTCTTGAGCAAGGCTGAGACAACTGATATTCGTCTCTCAAATCCTCCTGATTAGCCAGATATTTCAGTTGACTGTATCCTTGTAAGTATGACTGACTCAGATGTCACAGAATAGGCATTTTGATTTGTATTTCTCAAGTTGTTCAATTCCTTGAAATGTCTCTCATTGCCCCGTTTTTTTGAGCTGACAGACACCAAGTCAATGATTTTGGTATAAGCTTTTACTTATTTGCCGCGGCAAATATATACCCAACATGAAAGGTCTTCCAAGTTTATCGTTGTTTTTCTGGAATCAGAGAGGATTCTCGTTTGAGGTTGAGGGTGCTTGTAAGAGCCTGGGCAAAGAGTATATTGTTAGATGTGGTGTAGACTTCAATGGCACGGGGTATCTCAAGTCAATAGGTCCTACTCCCAGACGAGGTAAATTTCAGCCCGATCCGGATGTCGCGGGCGTCGGAGTAAGTCCAAATTTCTTCTCAACTCTCACCTCACCAAAATTTGGAGTGGTTCTAACTGCCAGCGTAGATCATCTCCTCCATGATCGCACAAGCAATAGCCGTCTGTCTCCTCGCACTCTGGACCCTCTATCTAAAAAAACGCAACAGCAAAATCTGGCTAGAATTCTTCACAGGCTTTCTCTTTTCCGTCTCAGATATGTCGTCGATCCTCTCACTCGCCTACATCATCAACTTCATGCTCACCGGGAAATGCAAGATGTCGACGTACCACTACTACATAGTCCTAGACACCGTTCTACTAGCCTGTTCCACCATAGCCCTAACCTTCCATAGCTGCCGCCACGTATTCTTCTCCACCCGCGGCTGGATCCTCCGCGTCCCTGTCGCCCTACTGATCTTCTGCCTTCTTGGGATCTTCCTCTCTTACCAATTCTTCGTTCATACCAAAAACAATTTTCCCGAATGGGTGCCACCTGTTGGTCGCAACGATAGCGGGTTACTCTTACCTGTCTCCTGCTTCTTTGATATTGACCTGATGAACGGAAAGGAAAACCCGTTCTCACCACATCGACAAATTAAGAAGCCTGGGAAGCCTGGGGAGAAAAAGAGTAAACCTGTTTATGTACACGAACCTCTGACTGAGACCCAACTAGACCGTCTCGGGCATCCAATCCAGAACTACAAAATCCCCCATTTCTACCTCTACGGTCTCCTAACACTCTCCCTAATCCTCGCTATCATCTTCAATATCTGGCAGCATTTCGTCGTAGACAGAAGAGCAAGAGCCTCTAAAACCACACCCAAAGAACGAAGGGGACTAGGACGTTACGCAAGATGGGCTTTCCGCTCTCTTGTCTATGGAATCTCGATACTTTGCACGATTTTCTGTACGGTGCATATGCTGAAGCTGCGATCGTGGGCTGAACACTCGGGGTGGTTGATTGATGAAAGTGAGTCTAGATGGTATTCGCTGGGGCAGCTTTTACCTCCTATGGCGCTTGGTATTTCGCTGTTTATGTTGTTGGATAGTTGGGGGGAGAAGAGGAGGCGTGTTAAAGGCGCTGGCTTGAATTTGAGTCAGAAGGGGGAATAGGAAGTTGGGTGGTTATAGACATGTGTGATTAAGATGATTTGAAAGGATTATGGTAGACGTAATGTGTAATGGAATGAGATGAGGGATTTGCTCACACTTTTTGGAGTAATGAGAATTGCTGTCTTGTTTTGATGGTTCTGTTGAGTTAGATGATTTATTCTAAGCGCCATTAGCTTTAGCTCAATGGCCTCCCTCTTCTTCAAACTACCCCTTAAGCTTGGATGCTCGAAAGGCTAAGTTTGTAACATCACCATCTTTGCACGCCACTTGTGGGCATATATCATACGAACAGTATCACTCCAATTTCTGACAGAACCTCATGCTCCAAAGCCCGATATTTTGGGGCAGATTTAATCACCCAGAAATGTCTGAGGTTTCAGTCTCTTAAATCAACGAGCTATTTTATTAAGCTTCAAGGTGTTTTATACAATAACGAGATTACTCTAATAAAGATACTAGAGTTTTCTTGAGCAAAGAGGTACACCAAATAATTACGGATGATTTAATGATTATACTAGTGGTCTCTTCGTAGTATGTTTCTCGAGGTCTTTCGTTTCTCATGGATATCAGTGTCTCCTACGCAAGTGGGTACAACTTCAAACACGTCTTTTATACCTAATTCCCAAAGTCTCTGGTAAGTCGATAGATATATACAGTACGTAGTAAATCTTGAAGTCTTCCACGACTGCCTCGTCACTCTCGTCACTAGCAATTACCCTTTTTGCTTGACATTAGATGTAAGCGTTCCAAAAGTATGCCAAAAACAAAATGCGGTAGTGTAATAACTGTAATGGCGTGTTGCTTAGCGTGGTCTCCTTGCAAGCAAAAATATTAGTCTAGAGTAGTTACTTATTCCAAACAACAATGAGGCTAACTTCTGGTCCTGCCCGCCACCACTCCTAGAAGAGTAGGTGGCGCAAGCTTCTTGCTCACTTTTTTGATTTTGCTGTCTGCTTTTTGTATTTGGCCTTGTTGTCTTTTTTTGGAGGGCTTTTTGGTAGTGGGCATCGAGGTGACTTTATTGTAAGCGAAGATGGTCTTGGCAAGGTGGTGGGAACCTCTTCGCTCCCTCCTCTCCGCAACCTCGCCTTCACCCCAAAACAAACAACCACCGCATATCTCCTCCTCATCTTTCACGCGCTATTTGCGCTCATCTCAAGGTCAAAGGCTTCTCTCAGCTCAGGACCTCACAGCGCCGATATCTCACGGTCCTCAAGTCTCACCAACGCGACGCGGATCGTATACTCCTTGAACTGCACGCCTCGCGACTCCAACGGAGATCACTTGAGTTGATCATCCTAGCTACAAGCCTCGATCTCGCAACAAGACATATTCAATACCGACCACGAAGCTGAATTCCAACGATGGTTTCCCGTGAAGACCACTGGGGTCCCCCTCCTCTTCGCCAGTGAGTGTTCGCATGCTTCGCCGTGCTACCATGACCATGGACTTAGCTAACCTCAGTTCAAGCTGCTTACAAACAACCGACTATGTAAAGGTCTACGTAGGCCCTGAGCGCAAGATGTGGGTCATAAATTAGGAGTTCTTATGCACTCAATTAGACTACTTCCGTGCTGCGTTCCGAAGCGGTGGTGGTGGATTTTAAGAAGGAGCCGAAAAGTCAATTCATTTAGTGGAAGAGGACCCAGGAGCTTTCGGCTCCTTGATGGAGTGGATACATACAGAGCACCGATGTGGAGACAATTGCACGTGTTTTCGTGACGAAGATTCTGACGACATCTTCAAGCTCTGTCTATTGGTGGAAAAGCTAGGCTGTACTAGTCTAAGAGACGAGATTCTGGCATACGCTGGCAGACTTGCTGACGCCCAACTCGGAGAAGAATTATCGGCTGAGATGTATGAAGTAATCTATCGCCAAACAGTTGAGGGTTCGCCAATTCCATCCATGGTTGTTGAAAATGGAGTAAAGGAATTCTTCAGGAAGATGGGCACGGAATCTCGTCTATCCCATGAAGCAACCAATTGCCCTGATTTCAATAAGGAATTTCTGGAAGCGATTGCCAATCATTTGTTGGAGGGAGCGAACCATTGTACATTTGATCCATGCAATACTCATGACAGAAATACTAATAGAGATGGCTGGGGATGGGGAGATACGCAAAGTTGAGTTGGTAGCGAGGTTATGTGGTCACCCTGAGATTGTTGCCAGAACTTCGGCAGGAAATCAGGAGATCAAGTTCTTCACCTACAGATTTTGAGTTTCTACGAATAAAAAACCCTTGTCATTGAATTTACAAAGTGCACGTAGACTGGAATATATGATGGGTTCTACGAACACGTTCAAGATTCTACGTCTTTAACTCTGGCAAATGCGAGCTTTTCCCACTCTCTTTCTCCATTATACTCATTACATTCAAAGCTCACGTGGTGATTAAATGCTTAAGCAAGACACAAATGGCAAGATTTGGGTTGTTCTGCTATAGTCAGTTGCGAGTTAAGCTTAATTTTCCAGGATTTTCTGTAATCCGTGCTTTTTTAGCAGCCTAACTACTAAAAAAGAACGCTAGCGTAAAATCTTATAAAATCGTTAATTCCTAAACTATTACTAAAAGATATATATTCTATTTATATTACTTAAAGTTTGAAGTAATTATAGCGCCTTAAATTAAAGCTATTTAATAATCTATAATAAAATCTACTATTTATTAATATCGCCGTTATTCTAAGAAGCTCGATTATAGTAATATCGCCTTCTACTTTAAATATAGTAATATATCCGTTTATAATATCGAAGCTAAGATAGAAGAAGAGGCGGCTCTTACTTTATATCCTTAAGTTAAAGCTAAACTAGATTATTATCCTACTTAGAACAAAAGTATAATAATATAAGTATCTTAGCTCCTATCTTAAGATAACGAATTAATAGTAGACAAGGTAGCGGATTATATATTTAATATATTTAATATAATGCTATTCAAGTAACTTACTAGATAAGTTATATATATAAGAAAATAGAATAAACATATAAAAAACTATACTATTCCGCTAGTTAGTAGGAGATTAAGTTAATATAAGCTTAGAGGGATAAATTATCTAAATAGGATTCTAAGCGTTTTATATTCCTTAATAAATTAGCCTTAAATGAAATAATAGGTTAATAATAATACAGGTAGGTTTTAATTAGAGTAAGGGCGGATTTAAAGTAGTAGTTAAAGAGATCGCGCGTTCAAAGTGATTTACTAGTATATATAATTAATAGATAGATTAAACCTATAATCTTTTAGGAAGTAATAACTATAGAGATGTTCAAGGACTAGCTAAAGTATATATTGGGTTGAAAGGGTATTGGGTACTGAAGGTCATGGAGAATTGATTGCATTGTAAAAGGTAGCTATCTAAGGTGTTTATATAAAGAGTGTAAGGTTTAGGCAGACATGAAGCATTTAGGCAGCAGAACTATAAGTGGATCAAATAAGGAAGTGGAGCAAAAGAGAAAGTAGACCCAGCACAACAGTATAAGATACTACTACTTTGTAATAAATAGAAGGGTAATCGAGATATTATTATAACAGATAATTGTTTTATCTACTATAGTAATCGAGTAGTAGATATATATACTAGACGTAGTATTACTATTTAGTATTTACTACTATATTACTTTTAGTTTAATCTAATTAAAGAAACGTTTAAAGAGCTTAAAACCTTAATTTATTATTATTATAAATATAAAGGTTTATCCTATAGTAGATTTAAGGGGTTTTTAAAGGATTAGGTATAAAAGATAAAATAAGAATAGGATATAAGGTAAAAAGCTCGAGGCTACTTTAAGAATTACTTTTATAAAGTTAATTAGATAATAGTTTATATAAGCCTCTAGATACTACGCTATTCTAAGGAACCTAGTACTATCTACTTAGTACCTCTATAAACTCTCTAAGATATATATCTATTCTATAGATTACTATAAGTATTAAATCTTTATATTCGAGGAGTCTTTAACTCTTCTACTAAAACTAATATACTAACGTCTAGGCTAAGGTATTCATAGATTAGGTTAAAATAAGAAGTTGTTCTTTTAACCTATTTATAAAAGATACTATCGGAACTAGATATACTACTAGATAGTATTATAATTATAGGAGCTATTCTAATTTCCTTTATACTAGTATCTATTATTTTATACTAATATTCGTATCCTTATATTAGTAGTTTAAAGCGTTTAAAAGGTATATAAGTATAATTAATCTACTTTATAAATATAAAAGAAATTAACTTATAGGGATTTATAATAATCTTCTAACTTACTTTAGTAAACCTTTACCGGCTCCCTAGGTTATATTAGCGTATCTTAAAAAGAACTACAAGGAAGTCGGTAGCGAATATCTTTCTTACTTATATAATAAATACTACGATTTAGCCTTTAAAAAATATAATAATATTATAGATTTTATATCATAACTCTAAGAACTTAAAGACTAATTATCAAATATCTATTCTATTACCGTTTATAAACCTCTCTATACTTGACGGTTTATTAAAGGTCTCAGAACGTTATATAGCCTTTAGCTCTCGAATTATTAATCTATCTAAATCTTTCCTTAGTAGACGGTTTATTAAAGGTCTCAGAACGTTATATAGCCTTTAGCTCTCGAATTATTAATCTATCTAAATCTTTCCTTAGTAGACTTTAAAGATATAGTATAAAGTGCTTTATAATACGCTCCTAGTACTCCTTCTACTATATCTTTCTTACTAAGTACCTTTGTTTTAACTTGTCCTAGAATAATAATAAAACTAATAAATAATCTAAACTAGGTTTATAAGACAAAGCTTTAAAAGTAGTATACGTACTATAAAAAGATATACTACGATATTATAATATACTACTTAAAGGACTTAAATAATAATAAGAATAAGGATAATTCGAGCCGAAAGCGCTACTAAGGAAATAATAAGAACTAATAGAATACTAGTACTATAGACGATAAAAATATAGTTACTATAGCTATAGCTTATTCTATCTAATTAGGAACTAAGGA